TCATGTTGACWTGTAGACAAACTGATTTCACTCATTGATTACAAATTATGCAGTTTGTTATAGATGATACAAATGTACATRAAACACAAATAAATAAAACACTGAAAAATCCTATTTTGACCGCTAATATAACTTTAATATTTTAACAATGGTTGTGTTTCTCAGTGTAGGCAGGTATATCATAAATGTTGCACAAACATGCTTAGACRTTTTTTATGTTTTTGTTGTTTGAATGAAATTGGAATGTTTCTCACTTCAGCTTATTTTGTTTTATTCTAATCTCTTACTGTAATGTGAACATATCAAACTGATGTCCTGGGGAAAAATGAAAAGCATGATCTGTTAATGTGTCTGCTTTTTGTTAGGAGGATTAAAAATAGGTTTGTGATTATCTGGACCTTTTCCTGTGTTGATAAGAGGGTTGACGACCTCTCACAGGTGTCTGCTTGTACACATTCATCCAACTCAGGCATTTTTCCAAGCCTGATGCAGATCGAAGCAGAGATGTAGACCATCTGTTTATTATTGCCCACCACTAAAGGGAAAATGGTGATAATGTTTTGTCTCTGTGTGACAAAAAATACCATAAAGCATTGAACAAATATTACTGAAACTTTCAGAAAGTAGTTACTGTATACATCTTTAGTTAACTCCAGGCTTCCTAACATGAGATCTTTGCTTAAAGCTTCAACCTGTTAAAGTCAACGCAGTCTGTTAGAAAAATTCTCATGAACCACTCAGACTTAGTTGAAACTGTCAGTAAGTAATTATGGCTGTACATCAAAAATTCATTACCAGATTTAAAAAAATCCTCCTTTCCAATCCAAAAATGACTCTTTGTCATTTCTGCAGATATTTAATTAGATGTTGTGTGCTGATATTTGCATAATTCTTAGCATGTAGTACTCTGGGTGCTTACATATATCGTACAAGATTGAGCATAATCAGTGGTGGACCTCGTTTCTCTAATCAGCTAATATAGCTGAACTAATTTTCCATTTAGTGGATTAGCTTTTTCACTATCTTTGAAAACCGTTAGCGGTTTTATTAGCTTCTGCTAAATTACTGCAGGTCTTGTCAACTTTAAAGGGATCCACTATTAGTTGTAACATTAGACTTTATTTCATAAACATATTTTAACTGTAAACTAAAGACTGTAAAAAT